AGCATTAAATTATTGATGTTATGGGAATTTGTATTTTTACAGTATTTCTATTTACTTTTTTGTTTTTTGTTTGTATACATTTTAATTTTGTATTAAATATTTATTAATGAATTAACTAGGTGTACAATAGCGATAGTATTATAACAATTGTATTATATTGATTTTCATAACTTACAATTTGACTGGTAACGTGATTTATATGCATTGGAGCTGGTACGTATGTAGTGATAGGTGAGCAGCCATTACACGTTCGTTTTAAAGTTGCTTTGTGTTTGGTACCATCACATCGTATTGCGTATCTCAATTCTTCTGCCATCTCCGTACAAACAGGTAGTTGCTACAATTTAAATTTAACATAATATACTCATGAAATCGAATAGGGTTTTGATCAAACAAAGTTTATATTAATTACTTGATCTGTTGACTTTTTCTTCGAATACCAGCAGAATTCTAATATTGCTATCATAACAGCTACAGTTAGCCCACATAAGACAAATACAAACACTCCACCTAATATTAGAAGTTTAATATTAWTAATATGAAAATGTTTTTAAACTAAATTCTAAAAGATGAAAAAATWAAAATAATAAATACTTTTAATATAAATTTAGCACTAAAACCATTTTGTATTTTTTTTCGATTGAATACTAGGTACTAGCAGAATCTAATTAGATTTTGATAACCTATCAATGCGCTTTAAATATTTATAAACATTAAATTACATGTTTTTATTTAAATATATGATTTATAATTTATTATTATATAATTTTTCTTAGCCGTTCCTTATGTGAAAAAAAAGATGAAAASGCGTGTAATTTTAATTAAAAATAATTGTGTAAAAATAAATAAATTGATGTTTCATTTCTTTATCAATGGTATATTATGGTTTACCACTTATAACTGACAAATTTAATTAAGATAATGTATTTGAATATTATACGTTTTCACATACCTAAATCGTTAAGGTCCAAAGGCTTTGGTTTGAATTCTTTAACTTTTTCATCTTTGATACAAATATCGGCTGCATTTTTCCACCATTTATCATATAACATTTGAATGACTCCTTTTTCTTGGAGTTCTAGTACGGCTAATGATAGTTTGTCTCTCCAGACAGAACCCTTTGGCGTTGCTATTCCGTAACCTTTAGAATCCAGAAGACCGCTGATTTGCGTTAAATTACAGTCTCTTTGAACGGCATAATCTATCATCGTAGATTCCATTAAAAATGCATAATTCCCCCCAAGTACTTTTTTCGTGCCTTCTTCGTAAGTTGATACAAATACCGATTGATGTTTTTCCATAAACTTCCACATCTTTTGGTATATTGGTATTTTGGAGTCCTATAAATAATACGAATAAATAGGTATATTATGAAATATGTTTTATAACCAAAAATACATTCAATTTCTTGTCATTGGAAATTTTCAACAGCAAATGTAGGTTATAAATAGTGACGATAAACTTTAGTTTAATAAGCATACAGGTATTAAGTAATAGTCTATGAAATTAATGAGTCAACATTTAATATAAATGTTGCCTGAATATAATTTATAAGGATAGTGAGTCGAATTCATCACAATGTTGTTGATCGAGTCAGTGATTTAGAGTATGCGATACCTGCATACGTTGATCCGTCTTACAAATGCGTAACATAACACATTTTATGCTCATCAGATTACGTTTAATTCCGTTAGTTTAGAGTTTAGAGTGAATCTCTTGACAGTTTAAGTTAGGTACGATTTTTATCTAGTCAATCTCATACAATTTTCATTAAATTTTAGTTTAAATGTTAGTATGATTATTTTAAAATTGTAAATTGGTTGTACATCTTAATACTCATAACTCGTGTTAAGATTATTAACATATTATGATAAAAAGCTTATGATATTGAATAATTTTATAAGAGATTAATTCACTCTAAATTTTAAACTAACGGAACTAATTGTGATCTGCTGAGTGTAAAATTTAATATGTTACGCACTTGTAAAACGGAGACAACACATGCGAGTATCACTTCCTCTTAAGTGCACGGGCGTAACATGGGGCCAAGCGCATCATATTATTTATTGTCTTTTGTAGTAAGTGAATTGGGCGTTATATTACCCATAGATACATATGGTATACTTTATTAGTAACTATCACGTATTCAGTGTTTAATATCAATGTATCATGATTCATAAATCAGGGTTTTGACTTTTTTTTTAATTTAAGGGGTCATATAAAAAAATTTAAAGACACATGTTAATGTGTTAACGCCGTTAGCACAATATGATATAATATGAGATAAATAATTAAATGGTTAAACTAGTAATGGTTATAACGAATTATTATATAAAAAGACAACTTTTTTTGTTTTATATTTACCCTAAAAAATGACATGGTCGATCCCCCTTCAAGGGTCCCGTATGTTATTTTTTCTTGCGATGATAATTCCGCTACATTTTGTATGGGTTTTTGTAGCCGCTCGACTGTTCTCARTGCCGTCAAGTTAGCTGTGTAAGATGGTATTATTATGATTGTGAAGAACCACCATATACCTCCTAGAATTCTAGCGGAAGTTGCCTACGTACAGTAGGATAAACACAAAAAAGGCAATAAATTTGTTATCGAGAAACGTTATAATTTTATAATTGTGATTACCTTTGGAGTGATGCCTGCATCCTGTTTCAATGAAACTCCTGCGACAAACCAAAAGCAATTYGATATGGTGAAACGACCATCTCGGAAATTTTCTTCGGTGTGTGGCCGCCATTCGTACGGGGAGAATCTGGCCAGAAAAAACAGTGAAAAACTCACGGCCATGTAGGCGAGAAACATAAAGCTCCAGACACTGGTCGCCAAGGGATTTAAGAAAGCGAACAATTTGGATGGTTCATTACTYGGGACCTGCAACAAGAATAAAAAAAAACTGTTGTTTAAAGTTGTGGTTTTGTTGATTCTATTTTTATTTACAGGTCTTATTATTGTTGTGTTGTTTTTATACCACTCGTGTTCGTGTAATAGGAAAAGTAAATTAAGCGTAGTAATAAAACGCTCCGGAGAATCGCAAACTTTTTAGATTTTAAGTGATGATTGTAAAAGTTCAYTGTACCTACTTTGTTATTTTTTTTTAACAAACTTTATGATGTATTTTTTACAATATAAATTAAATTAATTATACCCGTCTTTATCGATGCATTATAATTAGGTTCTATACATTTTAATTAATTTATCAGTTTTATTTTTTTGTATTAGTCATGTATTTTGTATTTAATTGATTTATGCATAGAGTTCTAAAATTTATTTTTTTATTTTTTTGAAATATTTGATGAAGGTTTCATGAAATATTAAGTGAAAAATGTTATAGAGATATTGGTTAAAGTATAATTATATAAATCACAAAACAATTATCTATTTTAAATATATCTTCTCTACATCGCATTCGGTAATTTCGAAAATCAGTCTAATCTGGTGATGATTTTATACAACTGGTTCCCAAACTKGGGGGCGTATACACATTGCTAGGGGGGCGCTAGCAGTTATTACGAAGTAAAATTTTTATTTTAAAACTTAGAGAAAAAAATATTTGACCGGAAATCTTTATCTGTTAATCGAGTATCACTAACGGATAACCGATAAAGACTATAAATGTTTGGCCGCAGCGTGAAACTTAATCGTTTTATGTCACGTTATCTGTTTAATAATTCTTGTCTTATAATAGTTATAATATTGTATTGAATATAAAATATAGATAGTTATATGTAAAGTACACCAAAAAAGGTCATCGATTTTTTATAATTTATAGGAGAGCGCGAGATTTTTAAAAATCTATWAAGGGGGGGGGRCGTAGAATAGGAGAGGTTTTGGGAGCCACTGTTTTATAAAAACATACCAAAAAATACAAAATTAAAAATATATTATTCAATATTTAATAAAAAGCGAAAATGTCATGTGAAATATTTATAATCATAACCCTAATTAAATTWATTTATTATGAAATTACCTTAAATAATATGCCTATTCCCATGTTCATAAATGGTTTTGTGAAGTCGACAACGCTTTCTCGAGCATAGTTAATAGTCATTGAACCCATGGCTAAGTCTGCTTTCTGAAATGTAAACACATTTTTTGATGCTGAATATCAATGCGGTGAATTATTTATATTATAGTGATATTAAAGTAATGATGGCGATTACCTTGTCCATGAGTTCTCTGACTATACCATTCCATTGCTTCGTGGTGGGGTCGTAAGCTCCATACTTGTTGTCAGGTACTAATGTGATTGCGTAATGAAAACCTACTTGTGATGCTATTCTGTGTAGTAAATCAATACAAAATCCTTCGTACTTTGAATTCCCTGTTAGGTTTTTGTCCTCTTTGATCATCACGTAAGGTTTTTCCTATAATGTTATGTAAACAGTTATTAAAATTAATTAATTCCAAGAATTTGAACTCAATCYAATGATAATAATACTATAATAATTAATTAGTAAGTCTTAATATATTGAGCTCGTTGTATATTTGTTATATCTTAATCAGGTACCTCATAATGAAWGTTTTTAAATTTATTTATTTTACGAATGTTGATGTTGTTACCTCAGTCAAACTGTAAATTTGTTCGCATTATAATATAATTGAAGAACTTTATAAGTACACCAATTAGAGAAAATGATTGATATTTCTATAAAAAATAACTGATACATAATTGAATAATAATGAATAATTGTAMTCCAACAAGGCCCAATAGTTGTACGACCAAATAAAAAAAATAATTCGTTTGCAAAGTATTTATGATTAAGACTTTTTGAAAACTATTTAAAAACTAATGGTTATGATAGATATGGTACTGTAAGGTATTGAACATTAAACTTTATCAACATATGATTTTATACCAATATATTAT